TATTTAAAAAAATATGTTTGCTGGGGAATTTCATTTTGTCCTGAATAAAAATATCCTATACGACGGCTTTGCTTTATCATTGCGAAGTGGAGGTGTAATTAGTTTTTACAAAGCAAGCCTGCCGCCCCTATTCTGTTATTCTCTATAACAATTAACTACTACGAATTTTTATTGAAAAAGCATGTAGTGAGCCTAAGGAGTAAAAAAAGCATAGAGTGATAGAACTACTGTGAAATCATGTAGGTCTATTGATACAATATTAAAATGCACATCACTATATGTTTAAAGATTTTCCTCGCTTTTCCCAGGATTCCATCATCAGATCCGAAAACTTCCTTCTTTTTTTTAATCGGTCAAAAAGTTTGGCGAATATACTCGTATTAAGTCTCAAGTTTGCACAGAATATGGCGTCGTAGGCGCGTTGGATTAGCGCCGTGTTCGGGACATCCGCTGTGAAAAATTGAAATGCACATTGTTTTAAATGTCGGTACGTGACGGCCGGGGCTTAGCACTCCACGGCTCGCAGATAATTGTATCATCTTTTGACGAAACAGGCTCCTGCTTTATTAATAAGAACCATTATTACAACTTTTGTATGAGGGGGATAAATCATCGAATATATTAAAGTTGCCCCTGAATTATACAGATTTTTCTTAACACTAATGGGTAAGTGTGTCTTTGACAGGGGTGTTATTAAGAACCACACGTTATTGTTATACGGTTTACTGTATGACAATAACGTGAAAATTCATAACGTAAAGTAAATTAATCCAATAACCTAGTCATCATCAACAACAGCCTTTAACAGTCCATTGCTGGACATAGGCCTCTCCTTAGAAAGGAGGTTTTGGCCTACTATACCACGCTGGCCATGCGGGTTGGTATAGGGTTTGTTTCAAGTTTTCCTTCTCTTTGCAGTGCTGTTGTCCTGCGTAGTTTGCTCCCTTAGTCGTCTCTTACGACACCCACGGCATGAATAGGGGTGGTGACACTCCGTATTCTTAATCCGTCACCACACGGACTATTTGTTTTAATAACCTAGTATTAATACAATATGTCTTCGTTCAACAGTGGACGGCAATAGGCTGATGATAATGAATACAATAACGTAACGTTTTAAAATATAGTAAAACACATAGTATATTTAAAACGAAATAAAGTCCAGCATTGTACAGCCACAATCACTATTCAATAGATGCTTTTTTTTTACAAAGTTAAATTAAAATAGCTGGCGCTAAATGTTTTTTTTTAAAGCTACTCGAATTATTAACACAAATCTACTTGAAATAAAACCAAAGTCATATTTTTTTATGTTTTTGCAAACATCTGGGTACAGGTGTTTGTTAGATATATATTTTGTGTTAAAAACTCTTCTTAACGTAATTTATACCTAATTATATTACGGGTAAACTACAGAAATAAGAAAAACTTTATTCCGTCACTGACAAATAAGAATTTAAAAATACCCATTTTCTTAATTCTGAATGGTTCAAAATTCCTGATATAACAACTCCGGCTTATCATTCATCCTTTTATTATAATTCAAAAATTTTAATATACCTAACGTTTATAATTACTATGCTTAAAATACCGAGTTTCAATAGATCGAAGGACGGCAACGCACTTGTGACTTTTGAGTAGCAGGTGTACATGGGCGGCGGTAGTTGCTTACCATCAAGTGACCCGTCTGCTCGTTTGTCCCCTTATGGCATAAAAAAAAAACAATAACAGATGATGATGATGGTATCCGATTTTTTTTATTAATATGCAAATATTTATGACAAAGTAGACATTTTTAAATTACATTTAACGTTACTTATAGATTTTGAATATATATGCGTAACTCAATATTGATATAAGTAACTGAATAAGAATCCTAATTTTAGCAGTTTATTCGAACGAAGTATTGAAAATCGGAATGTCGTATTTCGTACCGAGAACCCATCGAGCATTTGATTTTTTGAACGTATAAAAATCGGATAACAAACAAATCGCATTTACGACTTTCGGTAAAATAAATTTCGTGAATTTTAATAATAGACATTTTATTCTTAGGTATTATGAAATTCGGTACAAAATATTTCGTGTGTTTGTGTGTTCCGTTCTATTATCTTTTCAACACAATATGAAATATGTTCAAAACAAAGTAAATTGTCGTCAAAATGTAAAATATTATTAGGAAAAATATCAGTAAGTACGTAATTACCCATTTAAAGATATATTGGAGTGTCAAGAGTACATTTAAAAATAAGTTGTAAAAAAATCCATCTCTTTACTGATTCTGTATACCTAATTACAAGGAATAGATAAATTTTATGAAATGAAATTGATACCAAGCGTGTGTAAATGTTTAAAATTAAAATAATTATCGATAAACAACAACAATTAGAGTTGAATACTTAGGTAAGTCAAGTTCTGTAATATATAAAAAAAAAAAGTATTTTTTTCAAGCCTATAAATGTCAAAATGTCTATAGATTTGCTACTCATAAATTTAGTACTAATGTAATAAAAGAATAATCAATACCACTATCATTAATACAATAAGGAACAAAATAAGCGGTTCGCTTCGTTCCTCACTGTAGTGTTGTCCTTCACTCACGATAAACTTGTGATAAATATTTAAGGACTATATACACGCTTTCATATTTATTTTATCAATTAACTTGTGTTACACATATCTATTCAAAACACGCCTTTGTGGGTGGCCTGTTGTCATTTCTTGATTCTTAATAAATACACTACTTTCATTATTACTATGTTATGAATCACTCGTCACCATCCTGTCACTATAACACCGTTATTGTGTGTGGGTATGTGTAAGATATTTATTGTGTGAATGTGCGTGTGTGTGTGTGTGTGTTAAAGTATTCTAGTGATTATGACAAAGTAAGTAGGTAGTCTTTTAAAAAGGTTTGACGGACTTTTATGTACTTCAATCATGATAAACTGTCATAAATTGTACTTACTTTTTATTTTATATAAATTACAACAGTTTACCGCACACCATTTCTGTCGTACCAATCCAATTTACTTTTTTTTTCTATTTTTAAAAAAGACAACTCAAGCATTTGAAATATATCCTGTGTCGCGGGAAACTTAACAAACATACATGAAACGGACACAAAGAACACCCAGACTCAGTACAACAATTTGTGGATCACACAAAGTGTCGTCCCGTGTGGGGTTTTAACCCACAACACTGGGCGTAGTAGGAAGCGGCGTGGCGACCGCTTAAACGACTACGCCATTCCTGCAGTCCTGTAACTCGACTTACAGTGTTTTGCCTTAAACCAACCTTAAGCCAACGCTCAATCAGTTTCTTTACGTCGGTGTAGTACCCTGATCAGCACTTTTGTTATTAAATTATATTTTAGAAGAGATAATAATCTAAAAAATACTGTATTGTATTGAAATTAGGGCTTTAACATAGTAAAAAACTGTAACATAGCTTTCAAAATCAAAAGTCGTTTTCTAAAGTTACAGTGTATTGGATTGGCACGGCAGAATTCTATAGCAAGATATTTCTTTCCCCGATGCATTGAGGATTGAATACTTTACCTAGTTGATACTTCCTAAATACATTATGCAGATTATTTATTCATCACCAGCCTATAACAGTCCACTGCTGGACATAGGCCTCTCCTTAGAATGGAGGTTTTGGCCTACTATACCACGCTGGCCAGACGGGTTGGTATAGGGTTTGTTTCAAGTTTTCCTTCTCTTTGCAGTGCTGTTGTCCTGCGTAGTTTGCTCCCTTAGTCGGCTCTTACGACACCCACGGGATGAATAGGTGTGATGACATTCCGTATTCTTAACCCGTCACCACACGGACTTTAGATTATTTATTACCTAAGTACCTACTTAGCAACTATATTAAAGATTTCGCTTCACTATATATCTAAAGTTATAACGTAATTAAGTTTCAGTACCCTATGTAGTTACTAAATGGCATTTTCCAATAGCAATACACGAGTTAAAAAACCAGATCCTAACCTGATTACAATGACACTCATTGAAAAGTACGCGCTTTAAAATTAGAAAAAAAAAACAAAAAGAAGGTTCGAATTCAGAATCACTTTTTTTGAAGTCCATTCAAAAACATACCTACCTAAGCTACTGTGTTTGTTATGATAAAATGATATCATTATTATTTTATGGTTTAGGTGCTCTATGTGATAAGTAGGAACCGGCTCGTATCAAATTTTATTACTTTATAGATTTTACAATATAATCGCGTGTTTAGTAAATCTATTTAGGTAGGTGCTGAGATCTACAACCTTTAATTGTAAAGAGTATTAATTATATTTCTCAATATTAAATAAAAATCACATCACATATTATCGAACTTAAAATCTATTTACTTATCATTTTTTTTATTTTTTTTTTGATCCTCCACAAAATGATAATTATTTATTTCAATATTAAAAAATATTTCAGTAATCAAAAAGCTCTTACAGAAAATACTTTTACTTTATACAACTAGATATACTTATTCCAAAAGAATTAGAAACGACATTATTTTAATCCATAATCAATATTCACATATACGTGAATACCGAATTTTTTCATCAAAAATTGCTCGCGAATAAATGCATCGGTAGCACAATAAAATCCATCACGAATCATATTATTGTGTTACCTATACAAAGTGATTGTCACTCGAGGCACATGGCGGCGAGAGACGCCCGAGGCGGGGCTTGCCATACCACGCCCACAGAAAAACGGCTCAAGCGATAAGGTCGAAATCACTATGGAGATTCTAGAGATTTTCGGCTTTACAGGACAGAAAGCCGCGAGAGCGCACAGTGAGTGTGTGTCTGCCTTAAAACATAGTGGCAGCTCGCGCCGGTCGCACGCTCGCCATTCCAAATTCGAATACGAATTTTTAAATCCGGATTTCCAAAATTAGGTTCCATTTTCAAAAGTCGGGTGTCATAGATAATTTTTCTGATTCGGTTTTAAGTGTTATGCGTTGGACGGTATAATTTTTTTTTGACAATGGAAGTAAGTGCGATACCGCCGATGCCTTTGGACTTCTCAATGGTGAGGAGTGGAAGTGGTTCACCTGGTACCCTCAGAGACTCTTCTCCGAGGCCTGTCTCCAACAGCGCTTTTAGAGTGGTCACGCCAAAAGGTGGGAATAAATATTTTAGTTGGTGTAATGTTTGCAAGTTTTGTTTTCGCTTGTTTATACTTATTTGTTTATTTGTGTTTAACAATTTATTTACCTGAATATGATAGGTAGGTATGTTTATATTTATCCAAGTAGTATGCCGCGAGAGAACTTTTTCACTTCTAACACGGCAGTAATGGGAGCTTTAAATAAAATGGGGTATTTTCTTCGATACCTTTTTGATTTTAAATTACACAATAATAAATTAAAAGACCTAGGTACTTATGTTTTATTGCCGATGTATGTAAATGCAATTACCTACTGTAAATATACTTAGTTAACTTGAAAGAATTGTCAAAATGTTACAAGTAAAAAGAATAAAGACATCTGACATTACCGGTAAGTGATTGCAAAATTAAAACAAGATTCTAGAAACAAACTAAACAAATAAAACAATTTTTATATTCAGTGTTGTTATTGGTATCTAGGTATATGTATATCGCCTCAGACTTTTTTCCTATTCTAAGCTTTGTAGGCTAAATTATTTTCTTTTAAAGATACATATTAAATTTAATTTTATGTCCTTTAAAAGAATGGGCTTCAGTAGTGTTTTTATTTAAAAAATATAAAAGCGTAAAATGTTTCTTGAATAAGTGAACATTTTTTCAGGATAGTGTAGTTAAAACTCTATTCAACTTAAATTTTGGATTCTTATTAATTAGATTTAGATATCTATAATTGTAAAAGAAAATTAAAAATATAAAGGGGAGTATGTACGTGGCTGGATAAATTATTTGATCATAGTGTAGAGACTGATCGCATAATCAATATTACTGTCAAAGGCAACTTAATTGTCACCCCCACGACCCTTGACATTTTCGTACGACGACCTATTATTATAAGTTTATTGGGTGCAGCAGTACAGTAAATTAAGTTATATTTGATATTAATAGGAATCGTGAGTACTTTTGTGAATTCAAATAACTTTTTGTTTTGAAATAATTTTAAAAAGTGGACAGAAGGTACCTAGTCCATAATTTTATAAAAAGTTTATGGTGTTCCTTTTTCAAAGTTTGTTTTTGTTATCTTGTTTTAAAAAAACTATTCTATTTTCAAGAGAGATTAATAAAACATATTTTTATTATTTGAATTGTCTTTAATCTTTGGACTGGGCCGTTGAATGAATATTTCGAGTAAACCCATATTAACTTGCTTTTTAATACAATAGAGAACAATCATGAGGAATTTAGTTGTCAAACTGCCGTTTAACAATTAGGTATTTGATATTGAATTAATAGCATTTCCCTTGACACAAGCGTAGGTTTTTTTATGGTATAAGGGGGCAAACGAGCAGACGGGCCACCTGATGGTAAGCAACTACCGCCGCCCATGGACACCTGCAACTCAAAAGTCACAAGTGCATTGCTGCCCTTGGAGTCCCTCACACTCGATTCAGCGGGATAGGGGATTTGGGCTCTGGTAACCTCAGTCACTCAGTGAAAGGCAACGAAAGAGTTGCCTAACACCGGTTTTCTGTGAGGCCGTGGTGTCACTCCGGTCGAGCCGGCCCATTCGTGCCGAAGCATGGCTCTCCCACGTTAATTATTCTAAATAAGGTAGTATTTTCAAAATATAGAATACAACAAGCGTGTCTAGACTTAAAAGATCGACACAATCATTTCTTTTGTCTACTTCTTAAAAATAATTATTTATAAACTGAACAGTACTACACGTCCTGTATTACCTCATAGAAACTAAAATATGTGAAATGAATTAGAACACACGATTTGAATTTCGAACTCTAACTGTTCACAGACGGATTCTCTAATTCTGATTGGTCAAAAGGCATTAAAGTTCTCCCACGATACCTGAATACTAGAACACAAAGGAGTTCACGATGGCTACGGCCACTCGATGCATTCTAAATATTAATTTTGAATTTCTGTTCCAATTTCAAGATAGAATATTCGTTCAACTTTTCTTTAAACTATTTTCCTTCCTAATTGTACTCGTAAATGTCAAAAGAACTCGCATACCTAGTGAACTTTAAACTTCCTATAAATTTATATTTCTTTTTAAGCATTAGAATTGACTGTCAACCATGAAACACTCTAAAAAGTATAGTAGTTACAAAGTTATTTTGTAACGGAGATATAAAAGGAAATATCATTCTAACCTTCTTCCTTCCTTCCTTCTACATGCGTATTGAATTAGGTAAGAAGATTTTAAATTAGAAATTCTTGACTTGTCTACAAAAATATATTAGAATAATATATTGTAAAATAAAAAATAAATAGTTAAATAAAATCAATAACTTACAAATTATTAGCTGCACAGAAATAAGCACAATACAGGAAAAATGCCCTGTCATGTTTTGCAGCATGTTTCTAAATTAAATATTATTAAAGGCATATCTAAAAAATTAAAACTGTATACAAGATGTCACAATATCCATGAGGCACTTTTTTATATTTCTAATGAAATCGGTATAAATAGTAAATGCCACGTTTAGCAGACCTTATATACTTACTTCCTTAGCCTTGCGGATTTCATTGGTGCGACAGAGTACAACCTCGTAAAATAAGTTCTGCATTATTTAAATTCTTCTCTCTTCTGTTTTTTTTTTGCCTCTTTAAAGAATTTGTCACACATTAGGAATTATGCCATCGCCGCTCATTAAAGAATAGTAATCGTAAAAGTCTTTTATAAATATACGACGTGAACACTCAGTCGACCATTGAACTAACGGGTATATAGACGTTTGTTAGATGGTCCACATCACTCGACAAAAGAGTAAAAAAAATAAGATTTCCGAGTATTACAGAGAAGACGATAACTTTAAAAATAACCTTTTTGGCTAAAAATTGCTAAAACGTTGTGTAAATGGATGTTTAATGTATGTATATCATCCAAATAACATACATAAAATTATTAATCAAATATAAAAGAATAAACAAGTATTAGTTTTAAATAAGTAGGTTACTAATTAATGGAATTGAATTGGTATAGTGAGATCTACAAAAAACATTTTAAAATATCGTTGCAAAACAATTTTGCAATATGCTATTTGGTGACATAATATTATTATGTAAATACTAAGATAAAAAGAAAATAATTAGGGGTTTTAAAGAAACAATTCAAGTCGTCTCTGATTCTAATTTTAAATGGAATTAAAAAAAAATGGTTAAAAAGTATATTTTATTTTTAATTTCAATTCAACAAAATCCACGACAAAACTTAACTTTGATTCAAATTTAAAAATAGAATAGAAATCCCACACACGTGATTGCGACTTGAATCTAAGCCCTACCAGCTTTCACGCCCCGCACAAAAATAATGCAAAATTAAAAAAAGAGGAACCCTCAAAACATCCACTCCAATTAACCCTGCACTCACTACGAAAGGGCAAAAAGTATCGTACAATAGAACAGTAACCGTAATCCGCTGGTCCCTTAGACCGGCACGCGACCCTCCGCATTCTAAGTGTCCCGATTGTTAAATTACGCACAGTTTTAGAGGATTACCAAATTGTAATTGTTTTACGGGTGTTTAGACTTTTGCGTAATATCAACATATTGAGTTCATTTTAGTTTTCAGAAAAAAATGTATCGGATTTACACACCTATTTTGTACTTTAACGTATAAAAGGCATATTTTAGGAAAAAAATGCATAGGTACTTAATTATCTTTCTTATTAATAAAGCAGTTTTAAATGTGATGGAAGTACGCTTCTTGTTTACCATAAAATGATAATAATTTTATTGAACGAAAAATACGAGGTACACTCGTAATTAAATCAATTTAAGCATTTTAAGATTACTCGTTAACAAAAACGTTAAAGAAAAATATAAAAATGATTACGCTAAATTGTATAAAATTTGTAGAATTCCACCAGTTACATTAAAACACAATTACCAACTCTTAGTAAATAATAATGGCAGTCGGGAGAATGACTTGAGGAAAGTCACTAGTTAATATAACACCCGTTCGGTGACCCACGGCAGATATACCTACTGTTCCAAGTGTTACTATGGTGACAGAACCTTAAAAAAACGAGTGCCTTATCATCTTAATAGTCTGCCGTTGGAGATCAGGGAAGAAACAGACAAAGTTTTATTTAAGAGGAAACTTAAAAAGTATTTTTTAGATTTATTATAATAAGTTAAATTATTTGATTAAGTCAAAATGTACGGAGACTCGATCCCCCAGTCAAACCATCAACTCGGTTTCGGCGGACAAAAATGTAACTACATGTACACTAATAAAGTTGAGGATATATAAAAAAAAAGATAGTATCGTACAAGAGAGACGTAGCTACTTTCTGTTGGAACTTAGAATTACCTACTATCATACTAAGTTGCAATGTGATCATAAATCCCGTTAAAAAAGAAAAAAATCTGCAAAAAAACACGATCTCTCTTTTTCAATCGAATTTTGCACCTTACAATAAGTAGTAGTAAGTAATAAAACTGAGTAGTGATATTTTAGTTTTTATTTATTACTAGAAATCGCGTGGTGGTCGAATCTCAACCATTATAAATTAAGCTTTGAATGTTTTAATTTATTTCAAGACCACCAAGTTCAACTGCCATTGTAATCACATCACATCAACAGCCTTTAATAGTCCACTGCTGGACATAGGCGTCTCCTTAGAAAGGAGGTTTTGGCTTACTGGACCACGCTCGCAAGACGGTTTGGTTAGGGTTTATTTCAAGTTTTCCTTCTCTTTGCAGTGCTTTCTCTCTTACGACACACACGGGATAAATAGGGGTGGTGACACTCCGTATTCTTAATCCGTCACTACACGGAAATAGTCTAGACTTTCTGCACTATAATCGGCCAATATGATACCGTGTAGTTCGTCTGTTGCCGTTACTACATCATATCTTTTTTTTAAATAACAAGACCCATTGTTTAAAAAAGTACTTTTCTGCACTTCTTCTACGTATAAACTTTAAGCATTTAGGTAAAAATTTACATTACTGCTTCTTGAATATATTTTTTTACATCTCCCGCATTAG